CTCACTAGAGCAATGAAAAACTAACTCAGCAAAAGAGTTAATAGTTTCCCACCTGTTTGGTGAGTTAAATCAGCTCATTGAGAGCTTAGAAAAGTGCCAGAGAGCAAAAGAGAGAAAGACTGTGAAGCTTGAAGCAGGGAGGGAAATGTGGGAAGCAAGACCACCTTTTTGGGGGGCACTAACTTCACACATGAATTCAGATGTGTTTCTTGTTACCTGCTCTTCCTGATTCATTACAACACTATGTCCATTTTCCTTGAGAGCTGTTACCCCTGAGATTGTGCCAGCCAGGGGATGGAAAATGTACTGAGATCAGTACTCCAGATGTAAATAGTACTCCCATTAATTTGGGAGAGGAGTGGTTCTGGGGCAATTTCTCCCTCTGTTCTGGCATATTTGAGGCGTTGGGCCTCCAATGTTGAGTTAGTGAACAGAAGAGTGCTGGGTCTCCCTGGCTTTCCAGCCCTCCAGATGCAGAGCTAGAAGGTGTGGTTCCACCCTTTGGCAATTTAGTGTGAAAGCTTTGGCCATTATGGGGTAGCAGCTATGTTAGAGAGCAAAGCCCTTCTCTCTGTTGCTCCAGGGCAGAAGAAAGTTACAGCTGATGTTCTGGAGAGAGACCAGGAGGAAAATGATTCAGTTCCCATCATTAGATCCCTCGCTGTCCATGCATAACAAATCCTTTCATTTAACATATCTTGAGCACTTAGTGGCTGCCAATTAGGAGCAGATATCCAGCCATAACCATCCTATGGCAGGCATTAGAGATCCTGCTTCTTCACTGCCCTTAGTCCAGCCATCTCTAAGAGTGCAAAGGGAAGGCAGAACACCTCTATCCCAACCTGGGCAACATGGACAGCTGCTCTGAACACGTGTGGGACCATGCAGCACAACTCAGGAGTGGACAGTTACCTTCTACCTACCCAGCCAGCTATTCACTTTAGAAAAGTTTCTTATTTGTCCCAGTTCTCAGAAGCTCTTGCAATTCAACAGCCAGTATCAGTGTGCTTAAGAACTATTGTTTTTTCTTCTAAAAAGGTTCCAAATGGCCTTCTCTCCACCAATAAACCTGCACAGGGGAAGCTGACACAGAGATACATGCCTAAGTAGAACTCTGTAGGATACTCTAGTCTGATCTTTCTTACACTGCTGTGAGGTCAGTGTAATATTATTCCAGGTTCATTGCAGAGCAAATGAAAGGTGGAAGGTCCTAATATTGAGGGGAATTTCTGTTCAAGTATGGCAAAGGAGGCCAGGCATTCCCATTCACTTTGAGAGTGGGTGGTGTTTGGGAGATCTGGGTCCACAGTATCTAGAGGTGGAAAGACTTTTGGGACATAGTTTGTCTTTTCATCAGGCCCCCTTAACTGAGCAGTGCCTGCAGACAGTCTCTGTGCTCTTTTATAGAGTTAATCTATAGGTTCCTGCAGTTATGTCTGTAGAAAGGGCAAAGGGGAACATGAACACTTGTGCTCTTTCCTGCCTAGATCTGCAGTGTCTGGTTAGCAAATAGTGGACTGGGGTGGGGCTGGAGATGTAGCTCCCTTACACAAAAATGTCACCTTCCAGCTCTTTCTATGGATGCCACCCCTTTCTCTGGCGTTTCCCCCATCACTCCATTACTGGGTTTCTTCCAATGTCTCAATGCTCTGCATAATGTTTGCTCAGAGAAGTTCTCCCAGTCGTGTCAGTGACACTACTCAGATAAATAAGGAGTATTCAAGAAGATTTGCATGCCTGCATCTTAATGATTTATCTTTGTCTTCCTTTTCTTCCCACATCTGCTGTGAGGTTATACCAAGGTTTCTGGGTTCTGATGTCCCAGAGCTGACAAGGAGTATCCCAGATAACTGAAACCAAGCAGACTAGTACATGAACACAGTAAGTTCCTTGCTTTCCCAGTTCTTCCAGGAAGAGTTCTATGAGAAATTTCACTGTAACTGTAGTTGGGAAAGAGCTCTCTAATTTCCCTATGTATCCTGATCAGCACTCACCTCAGATTAGCTTTCCTTCTCATAGTCTGTCAGCAGCCCTGAGATCAAGGAGATTAAACCACCCTGGTAACTCATTAATGAGCCAAGACTCTCTGCAACAGCTGGACCAAAAATGGCCCGTGTTTGGCTGCATCTCAATTCTTTGCCATCTCCCCTCTGCTCATCAACACCTGCACACATTTGGGACCCAGTATAAGAAGACCCCTGAATCCAGCTCCAAGCAACCAGTCTGCAATGCACATGTCTAATGCTCTGCTGGTGTGGAACCAGTATGCTGGTAATCCTGTTAGTAATGGCAGAAGCTCCCTCTAGGAAATTATAACAAATAGTCTTAAACAATTCCTATTGTTGACAACTTTATCCAAGAAACCATCTTCCCTGGAGACTTCACTCAACTTTTGACTAATCCCCTCCTTCCCTCAGGAGCTCTTTTGTTGAAGGAGATTGTAGGCAAACCCCAGGAATGACAGGTCTCTGTAAGCCTTGGATCAGCCTCTACATTCTTTCAATTGTCAGTCCCCATCTGTCCTGTTTGTACATCGATCTTCTGGTCCAGGGATCTCTCTATTAAGTAACACATGGCTGAGTTTATTCTGCAAGTCCAGTGTCCAGACTGTTCTGTTACATCTTCGTTGCCAAGTCAATCTTTCTGACATTGCTTTCTGAAAAACAAAAGGCAGGACATCTGCACAAATTCGTTCTCTTCTACTGAAAGGTGACTTTTAAAAATATCACCCCCTCTGACCAAACTCTGCCCTTTTTTTTTTACACTCTCAAAGACTTTGCTTCATTTTGTCAATATCAAGAGTTATTTTAAAGGTCCTTTGTGTAATGGAGAGTAGAATGTGCCCCTGTTGCAAAGGAGTTCTGTTAGGATAAAAATCCATGTCCTAAGCCCTCAATCAAATGGAAAAATAAATGCTAATGACAAATATTCTGCAGGGCTAGTGACTTCAGTTACTTTGTTTGTTAACAGTTGGCTTAAAAGAAGCTCTAATCTTCCTTTGGCTACAACTACACTTAGCTAGTATACAGTAGCACAACATATAAGGGGCACTGCATTATTTATCTGCATTTTGAGAGACAGCATGAGAACGGAAACAGCTTCCAGTGGCCCATATGTTTCTCCTCACCAGACAGAGGGAAAGAAAAAAAGAAAATGGATGGAATATTGGCATGAAGTGTGTATCACCCTGGGATAGATGCCTGGCACTGTCTTTTCCCTTCCTGAAACCAGGAGGGGAACAAGGAGGAGACTGTGACGATGTTTTGTTCCTTGCTGTGTTGCTCAAGGCCCACGGATTCATGATGGAGCCTGGTATGTTTAGTTCTTTGGGTTTGTCTATTTTTGTAACTTAACTCTGGCTGGCCAGTGAAGGAAGGCTGGCCAGTTTCATTATGTTCCCAGGAAATTCCATTCTCTCTGTGCCAGCATGAGGCTGTTGTGCTTTAGATGCCTATCTACCTCTGATTAGATTTGAAAAAGCATACAGAACCCCCTGCTTTCCATAGGTAGCCTATTAAAATGAAAAAAAAACCCCAAACCCTGTTTCATTTATAACCTTGCTTGCATGTCTGAATCCAGATGCCTTTTTAAAAAAGAGAGTTAATAATACGAACACCGTTGCTTATAGAAAAGTTTTCCTGTAATGAAGTGAAGAAGAAAACTTGAGCTGACATTTAAGCTGGTTTAGTATGTTTTGTAAGCAGCTCTAAAACTGGACACAATCACTTTGAGGTGAGATTAATATAAAAAAAATAAGTTTAAGACTATCTCCTACCATTTTCATGATTTCACTATTTAAAATTATGTATTTGTGAAATACACTCAGAATCTGTTAAAACTGGCCAAATCCAAGGTCATTGAACACTGAAGCATGAGTGCCCTCCTCAAGTAAGTTGTCTGGGAAGCCTTAGTGGAACTGACAAGCAGCTTTTTTGGCAGGATTAGTTCCTCTCTGATCACAGAGGGAGAACAGCCGCCCTGTCTGCACTTAGCTGAGCAGGTGAGCAAGGAATGTATTCAGGCTGCCTCCAAAACCCAATCTGGTCAGAGGGCTGGCAGTGTCAGGTCCTTCTTGAAAGCACTCATGGCTGTCCTGTCTGCCTGCTGTTGCCTGCATGATGAGGGCAGATGGGGTAGAGAGAGGCTGTGAGACCAGGCACTGAGTTCTGGGACCTGTAGCATGTCCAGCTACATGGGTTTGGAAGCACAGACAGGTAGCTGAGGTTTGCCCTGCTGTTGTAGCTCTGTTGCCTCTTAGCTTGGCAGATAAGGAGACAGTCAAACCAGTTTGGCCTCAGGATCAGTGTCCAGGTCTGCCCTGCAAGCACAGACCCAGCTGGTGACACCGACTGGACATATGCTGTTAACAAACACGTGAAGTAAACATAGAGACAGGATATAGTAAAAGGGTATTTTCTGCTAATTTCTTTCAATAACAGTGATCTGTTAGTCTTTTGTGACAAAAAGGAGATGAAAAATGTTGACATTTGAAGAATCATTTTGAGGTGTGTCACATTAAAATAGTGATTACTGAAACCCAAGGATGTTGGAAGCTAAGGAGATTTTGCCTAGCTCTGCTCAAGTTCCATTGTGTGTGAAATCAAAACAAGTAAGCTAGAAAATGTGAACTCACTAGACAAGGACAAAGGTGAACAAAGCAATCTGGTCAGTTTAAGCAATAGAGAAATGAAGCAATATCTTGGCTGGGGAGGCATCAGAGGAAAGGGCACTGGTCTGAGACTTGGGAATATGACAAAAGAAGCCCAAGCCTCCCCTGATACCATTGAGCATTGTGCACTGGGGCCATTGGCTTGCTGATCTCTCTGAATGTGAGATTTCCCACTTTGTTCTCAGCCTGGATGTGGTCATCCAGCCCTGGGTGTCAGTTCTGTTTTCCCATTTTCAACACACAAAGGAATTCACATGGTAAGGATGATGGCAGCAGCTGAAACAGTGGCAACTACGTGCTTACCCAAAGATTAGTCAGTTGTCCCTGCTTGCTACCAAAACTTGCTTGAACCCCCTGAGAGATGCCCTTTTCGGTAAGAAGCAAACAGGTCACAGATTTCAGGTTGCAGTCTCACTCCTGGAACTGTGAGCACTGATTGTCCTGTGGAAAAATCAGGTTAAAGAAAAAGCTGCAAAATGGTCCTTTTCCTCCACTGTGCTACTCTCCCAGTGCTCTCCTGTGCCATTAGCCACAATATAAACTAATTCGGGATCCTTTTTCTCACAGCCCTGTTCCTTATGATTTATTTTTTTTTTAAAATTATTTCTTTAAACTAGGCACCCTTCTCTAGAAATCTCATCTATGGTTTCTTTTTTTTCTTATTTCTTGGAGCAACCAGCAAAATACTATTTGGTAGAACAGTGGTGGCAATGCAACCCGCTAATCAAAAGGATTCAGATGGATCTATGCACTGCCAAGCTCTCTCCTTCCCACCCAGCAGAGGGGGGAAAAAAGGAAAAGAAAAAAGAGACAGAGAGAAGGCACGGAGCTTCTCTCCTTCAGCAATCTCACAAATGCAAAACCTTCCACTCCAGTGACTCCTCATTAACTTACCAAATCTGACAGTCTAATTATCGTAGCTGCTTCACGCTTAGAATAAATAAATACTAAAGTGGGTGTTTAAAGAAATTGAGCAGTGAAATTCAGTCATCTAGACAGTCAATAGAGAGAGAGTTTATTTTAAATTTTTATATTCTTATGTATTTATATCATTTTAGGAAAGATAATGAGATAGTTGTCTTTCAGGCTAATTGAGTTCCTAAGCTCATGGTTGCTTGCTGTCACAATCTCAAACTTAGCTTTAACTTTTGTGCCTTAGAAATCTGATCACTACATCCCCGTTTGCTCTTTCTACTGATAACTGGGTGAAGGCAGGAGTGCACCTGAGGATGGGAAATGACTACATGGGAGTTCCAGACTGAATGTCTTTTGTGGCAAACAAGACAACTAAATCTTCTCAGTTTTGCATTTAAGAGTGTTAAAGGGAAAATGGAAGTTAAAGAAACCTCAGATATAACTTGCAATTAGACAAAATACAGAAAAACGTCTGTTAACCTCTGATGCAATAGCATCTGCCTCCATGAAGGGTATTAACAGCACTCCCCCCAAGAGCAGTTCATCTCCCTGAACAATAAGACCTTTATAAAGATTCTCTGGCCTGAGATCAATGGGAGCCAGAGCATTTGATCCATGTCTGTAGGACTTTGTTTCCACAAGTCATGTGGGCCAAATTTTGTGCCAGTTGTGCTTTTGCAAGAGCATGAGCTGGGGAGTGAGCAAAGGAAACCTTCTTTTCTTGCCTTCCTCTTCATCCCCTGCTCCTAAACAGGGCCCAGCACCTGCCAGCACAATGTCTGCTCCAGGCCAGAAGAGCTTAAGCAGGGCAACATGTCCAGAGGCCTGTGTCCTTGGCACACAACTCCTGTGCTGTTGTGATGGCTCTGTCCTAGCGTGGTGGCTTACTGACAGAATACCAAACCTCAGTGTCCTGCCAGTATTTACACAAGCAGAACTCCCACCACTGTGGAGATCAGGCCAGGCAAAGTGAAGATTTAGTTCATCACCTCACAGAGAAGACTGCTTCTGCTTCAGGAGTGACAGCTGATTTGCTGCTCAGCACCAACTGTGGTTTATTCCCTTATAAACACATTATAAGCCAGATCCATACCCCTGGTGGGGACTTTACTTTCTAGGTGTCTGTATCTGATTTGCAGGGGAGGATATCCATTTGCTGTAGACAGAGGTGGCAAAGCACAGGGGTAAAAAAAACGTGACTATATAAACCTTTTAGCTATGAAGAAGAACCTAGGGAAGCCAGCCCACCCAAACAAGGTATATGTGAAAGCCAGCTCTTCTTTATATGTGCCCTGTGATAACATCTGCCAGTGCTGGCTAATCCCAGCAGTAATGGGATTTTGGGTAGGCAGTGGCCTGCAGCCTTAACATCCTCGTTGCCTGCACTTGCTCTGCATCAGTTTAGATGCAACACACAATAAAATGACAGTGCTCTGTCAGCATCAGGCCTTCCTCCTCCTCCTCCTGCTTGTCTCTGAATTGTGGGCTGGTTTAGAAGTGGTACAGTGTTGTCACCACCTGGCACACTGTTTTTATATTGCTGGGGGGAGGCAACAACCAGAGACCAACCGTACCCAAAAGGAGCAAGCCCCTCCAAGTGAGTGCCAGGATCACATCCACACAACACGTAATCCTCCTCACACAAATTGGGCTTGATGAGTGACTGCTGTGCCAATGGTGTGCCCAGGGTCAAGGGTCTCCTGAGCTGTGAGAGGGGTCTGTGCTGAGCCTGGGCATTGGTCTGGGGGCTGGAGCTGAGGTGCCAGCTCCCTGGCCCGTGAGCCTCTGTTGTTCAGCCAGAACTCTTCCTGCAGTATGTTCTCTTTGGGCTTAGCACTGGTGCTAACCCCAAATCTCACTGCTCACTCTCCCTGCTTGTGATCCTGCTCTAAAGCATTTGAGTGCAAGAGAGGAAGAAAATAAACCCAATCTATAACTAAGAATAATAAGCTGCAATTGTTACTGTGTCTGACCTTTCTGACAGCAGTGAGACACCTTCTCAGAAGGCCCTTTGCACTTCAGGTCTGACACTGAGTTGAGAGCACAGCTTATGCTTTCTTGATTCAAGGATCTCAACTTTCTTCCAGGAGTGATTAATTGGACAGAAAACATTCTGCTTTAGCAGGTGGCAAAGGGTTAGACTGAAGTTTTAGCAGAGCTGCAGTAGCACAGGGCTTCACTGCACACGTATAATTGTCTCAGGTTTGTCTAAGGCCAGAAAAAGGACAGCAAATACTCCAGTGTGATGAAAGGTCATCACTGCCATCCCTTAAGGTACTGGCCCCAGTGGAAGGAAGCTGGAGAATCCCCTGCTTCTCCCCTCTGTTGCTACATTCAGAGGTGCCAGTGGCATGTGTAGAATGAAGGCCACCAAGACAATGAGCAGATTTTGAACCTGGGCCTTAGCAGCCCCTTCCAGCAGTGCAGACACAGGAGCAAGCAGCTGTAGGAGAGACCCATCAGTGGACTAACCTCACTCAGGAGACAGGGAGTCTTTCTCTCTCACAGCATGGGCTACTCCTTTTTTTCTATCACTTTGCATCCAGATGAACATAAGCAACAGCAACCTGTTCCCCTCTGCAGAAGCTGACCCTCAGGAAGCAGAGAGGCCTGTGCTCCTGCTACCCCCACCCCCGGGCAGCAGCCAGTCTCTAGCCATTGCCATTCCCCTCAGTAATCAGAAGCATGCTGTTTGGAGGGGTATTTCATCTTTGAAACACTGATTTCTCCAATTATTTTTTCCCAGGAATTGACCTTTGAAAAACATCCTCTAGCTTCCAGCTTGTCGTAGTAACTTATAAGAAGGACAGTTCTAGATGCAATTATTTCATAAAAATAGAAGATAGTTTCTTACGGGAACCTTTTATTTTTTCATATGTTGTTTCCCTCTTACTCTCTCACACACCTTGGGATCAACCTCCTCCTTTCACCTTTTATCTCCAGCTCATTCTTTGCCCTTCTGCTTTAACTTTCTCCTTCAGAGGATGAGGACTAATAGCCAGTATCCTCCAGAACAAAGTGGGGACAGAATATATTTAAAATCTGCACTGTGTTATCATACCAACAAGAATTTTAAACTGATAGTTAAACTCCAAAATAGTGTGATGCCAAAGTGACACAAGAGAAGAAATGTCTTACACGATTATGGCCATAGGGATGGCTACACGGGGTATTATTCAGAATTGCCTAATTTTTACAGGCTTAATGAATCACTCATGAATATGGCCTTGCATGATCATACTGTACTTGTTTCAGCCCTGTGCACTTTGATTCTGTTCCCAACACGTTGGTTGCCATGATAACGCCCTACAGTTTCCTGTCCACAAGGTACTTCTCACCACAGTGTGGGGGATAATAAATATGGGATGGTGCCCAAACCCAGGTGAAATGAATCCATCCCTGGCTGGCAGCCTGTCCGAGAGATTGACACGTTGTGCCAATCTGTTCTCACATTCCTTCTATTTCTCCTCACTCTCTCGCTTTCTCTCACACGGTCTGTCTCTGTACCTGTTTTTTTCTACACTCTCTCTCTCTCTCTTGGCACTGACACTTTCATCTTCTCCCTTGGGGATTGGAGATGTCACTGCGGGAAGTACTTGTCCGCCTCTCCGGCAGCAGCAGAGCCCTGTGGCTTTGACAAACCTCATTTAATTGGGAGGAAGCCAGGAGGGTTTGAAAGAACTGAAACATCCACGAAACTCCTTTTATCAGGCATAATTTAAACTCTGCATGGAAAAAACCCTATATGTATAAAGAAAAGTCAACTTCCCTCCTGCTGTGCGTGCTCCCCTCCTACCCCCCCGGCACAGGCAGGCTCCTGAGAGATTCCATCTTTTCATTTTTCTAAAAGTGTCAAAGTAGATTTGTGCTCTGTGGCTGGGTGAACAGAAAAGGAATGCAGATGTCTCTCACTCATGCACATACACACAGAGAGCACCTTCTGAAGGGCAGCGGTTTGGGAGAGACGGTAGCTGGCTGCTTCATCTCTTGGGGTGTGTCACAGGAGCCAGAAATTAGGTTTTCAAATAGCTTGACAACACAGTCCGAGCTGGCTTCTTCTTCATTGCCCCTATCTTAAAAATACCCACCAAACCAACTAGTGTACTGGGTGCCCAGGAGGCAGTGGGGAATGTGAGGGCTCTCTGGCTTGTTGCCCAATAGGAGGGAGCTTTTCCTAGTGAGGAACAGAACCTGTAGCTTGAGAAACGTTGTCAGCTCAGGGCAAGTGAGGCAGATCTGTGTGTATGCAGCTGTGTGCTCAAGAGGAGGGAGCAAGGGAAGAAGAAAATAAAGCAGGTACAACTGAGGGAGAAGAGTGCAGCAGTGTACGAGGAACAGCTGTTGTCTCTGCACATCAAAAGGGAGCAGGAGCAGCAGGCCAAGGGAACTGGGGCTAGCACATCTTGCTGAGCCACTGGGGATTTGGGACATCAGGAGGGACCAGCATGTGAGTTCCACTGAATACAAACTGTGAGCCAGCCAGAGGGAAAGCTCTGGCCCCCTGGGCTTCCAGAAAGGGGGAGAAACGACCTGTCAAAGCACATATTGCAAATGTACCCCAGTGGCAGCCCATCCAGGTCCCCTTCTAGTATTAATGCTGTGGCCAAGCGGAATTAAAGAGAAAAGGAAGCTGCCAGCTCTGCAGTGGGATGTAAATCTGCAGCGTACGGGCCTGGGGAGGGAGGGCAGGCAGAACAGAGAGAGGCATCCAGGTGACTGGCAGAGACTTGCAAAGTACAGAAGAAACTCATAACAAATATCATGTGAAGTAGCTCTTTTCTGGGGAGATGAAACTGGGAGTTAACTTACCAGCAGGCAGCTGGTGGAGCAGAGGAGGCAGAGGGCTGAAGAAGCCGTGAAGAAGCGCGTGTTGGGCGGAGATCCGGCCTGGAGGGAAGGCTGTGAGCATCCTGGAGGCCAAATCCTCTGCTGCTGGCAGCCTGTGCAGCCTAGGAAACCAGGGGAAAAAATAGCATAGGAGATGAGCACAAGCCAGAAAGCTGGAACCAGAATGTGACCCAGCCCTTCACAGAGCTTGAGGCAGACGTACTGAAGGGACACAGGGGAGCTGAATAAACCCAGCCCAGCTATATGGCTTTCCAGGACATTTGCTTTTCCATGTGAGTTTGATTATATCGGAGTATATGCATCCAGAATTTCAGCTCAAACTCATGTTTTCAGAGGAATTTTGAAAATAAATCTGTTGTTTTGTAAAAGGAAGGCTCTAACTAAAAGGGAAAATGCTGCTGGGAAGACTATATTTTACATATTGAAACTGGAATGTCAGAGGTTGGTGTTACCAGTTTGCAGTAACGATGCAAGCACACAAAATAACCTGACTGGCCCACTGAGCAGACCAGAGGTCAAAACTGAAAAACTAAAGAAAACACCATTTCCCCGTTTTCTAGTACCAGTAGTGCAGCTGGTTGTAAAACGTGTTGGGGATTCATGGAGATGAATCTGTTTCTCAGAATGAGTGCTTAAAATAGATGCTCGACAAATAGCAATGCCAAGTGGCTGCTTTCTAAAGGAGCACACAGATGGGGACAAGGAAGTGGAAGAGAGAAAACAAACTAACAAAGAAACAAATAAAAATAGTCATTTAGTTTTACAGCTTTTACTTTGTTTGTTTGTTCTGATCATGTTTCAGCATCAGGAGGCCCATTGGAGCATGGCCTGTTGTGCATCCTCAGCCCCTGGCCAGTGCTTCCCCTCCAAGTGACATCAGGCACAGGGATCCCCCTGCTCCTGCACTCCCCCTGCCTACACAGGACATTGGACATACTGACATTATTGCTTTGAGGAGATAAAATGTTAAAAAAAAGGAAAGTAAAAAGGCAAAAAACACACAGAGAGAAATATCCTGAGAAACAGATTTATAAAAGGTGTCTGGCCTCACTGTGGTGGGTAACTACTGAATTCTCACCTCCAGCAAAACAGTTTGAACGCCTGCTGCCTTGGGGAGCAGGGACAGGACAAGGAGCCAGAGCATCCAAGCCTGAGGCTGCTTGCTAGAGCTGCACCACAGGCTGCCCCAGCCACGGCAGGGTCTTACTGGAGCCCTCTGCCCCCTCAGTCCCTGCTGCTTCAGGCTCCTATGCCGGCAGCAACACGGTGCAGCGCTTCCCACCATGGCCCAGGCTCTGCACCAGCGCCCCTTTGCTTTCTTTATTGGGCATGGGGACTCCTGCCTGAAGCAGCCCTGTCCATCCCCAGAGCCAAGCAGGCCAGGGCAGCCCCTGGGCCATGCCAGCGTGAGGACCCTGTGACACAGAGCCAGAGCTGGCCCACGGGCAGCCCAGAGCTCTGCCACCGAGGCGTGGGGCCAGCCCGTGGCCTCGGGCTCTAATGTCAGGGCACCATGGCCAAAGAGCAGAAGTGCAGTACAGCAGAGCAGCAAGGAATACAGTTATTCCTTTGTTCAGGCTGAGATTTGGTCTGTTCCAGGACCTGTGTTATCGGGGTGTGGGGCATGCAGAACTTTGGGTGTTTGTGAAGACGTGCGTGACAGTGGCTGGCATTCCAGCAACCTGTGCTTTGATGAAAACTTCAGCATATTTGTCCAGCCATTCAGAAGAGCATTTGGGAAACACAGCTCTGAAGGGTGGCACATTTCCCACCAACCAGGGCTGGATCCCAACCAATTACACATAATAAACAGCAGTGATGAAAAACATGGTTATGTCCTCAAAGGATATTTGATTCTTGACCTGTGCATGAACACAATCCTGAGGACAAACCCTGTCTAGTCTTTTCCTATGTATCTATAAAGTTTGTTGTGTGTCTCAAAATCGGTACTGAGGGAGAGGTTTGATTTTAACAGCTCTCTGAGCTAGGTTAGGGCAGTTCACCTGACTGTAAATTTCTTTCATGGATACATATATATGTTAAATATATATGTCTGTGTGTTTGTGTGTACATATATATGCTTGAAAAATATTTCCATCTCTTAACACAGTAGGAAGGGATTGAGCAGTGTTGGTGTGCCTGGTCAAGCCAAGGTATGTAACCGTGGCTCTAGTCTCATAGCTTTTGGCCACTGAAGAATGTGATTTTCCCCCTCCTAACTAATCACAAGATTATTGCATTGTCTCATGAAAATGCTGTCCTAGCACATCTTCCTGACCGCTGTTGAGCAACATTCCTACAGTCTGTTTCCAGAAATGAAAATTGGGACAGTGCAAAATCTATCTTCAGTCTGGGCAAGAGGGCCTGGGAAAGTGTGACCTTCTGAATCGAACTGTGCCTCGCAAAAAGCTGCCCATAATGTCATTGAATCACTGCTTATCTGAGCATAATCACTGCTGCTCTGAGGATAATAAACCCACTATGCACCTACCTCTGCTACGAACTCTCCAAATCAGTTCTGAACTGACGTTAGATCTGCTTGTTACTACAGAGCCACCCCGCTCGTCCTGAGCTTGCCAAAAGAGCTCATTTCAAGTTAAATGATTGCATAAAGAAACAAATAAACCCAGAGGCAATTTTGACAGTGTCGTTATAGGTAGCTTACCTGTCACACATGACTCGGAGTCTCTGAGGTCTCCTGGAAGCAACCAGTTCTAGAAAGTGTAACATGCAATCACAGAATTAAATGAAAATCAAGCCAAAACCCATTCTTTGAGCCCTTAAAGAAAACGTGCTCAGAATTTCAAAGGGCCCTATAGAATCTGTCATCTTAATACATATAAATATACATTATTCCTATAGGACTTGAGTACCAGCATTGATGTTAATAAGGCTGTTCCATTTCTGTAACCCCTTCCTTCCCTACCCCTGTGAATAAAGGCCTTGGAGCCGCTTCTGTTACTGTGGGAGTCTCAGCTCTGCCTGCAAGGAAAGCAGTGTCAGTCCCCAAGGCCTTGGCATGAAGGAAGCAGGAGGTGTGCAGGCCCGAGTCCCCAGCGAACAGCCCTGGCTTGCCAAGGAGCTGCTGAGCTTCACGCTCTGCTCTGGGGGCACACGGGGCTTTGGAGCATGGGTCTGGCAGAAAGGCTGGGGACTGAGCAAAGGCACCTGGGCCCTGCTCTCTTCTTGCCCACCGCTCTTGCTGCCTATCCCTCACTAAGTTTGCTGTTTATCAAATTAACCATTTCCATGCAGGCTTTCTACTTCCTGATTCAAAGGTCTCTGCCAGACTGGAACTTTACAGAGTTTGCAGTTTTGGGAAGGCTGTGTTGTTGTTGCCATTTTTCAAGGACACATTTCTAAACATTGTGGGAAATGGAGAGGAATACATTCCTCAAATGTTTTCTTACAAAGCATGAATTTTCTCAGGCTTAGATATGACTAGATGGCTTAAGCCTGGAAGATTTCCCCTTAGACCTGACCAACAGAGACATATTCTTGCATCAGAAAGGCTGCAATTTCTATCCAGATATATTTCCCTGAGCATTATTTCTGACAAGAGAGGTGATCAGTGATCTAGCTATGGACAGGAGAGCAGGAAGGGTGGTGCAGACCTCTCTTCCAGCCCAGCAATATTCCGTGCAGCAGCAAGACCACCAGAAGGCAAGTGCCACTGGTCTGTTGCCAGTAGACTCAGAGCTTGGCTGGGGTTTATGCTGAACAGTCCAAGGGCATCTGCCCTCCCTTCCTGCCCAGAAGCAGCAGCCACATCAGTCAGGGACAGAAGCTGTCAGATACAGCTGAAGGAGGAGTCCCCTCTGCCTTTGCCTGTGTGGCCATTTCCAGAGTACCAGGCCCTAGGGCTTGGTCACTCAGTGTCTGACTTGATGCACAGACAATTTCAAAAAGTGCAAATGACTGAACCCTCAGCACTTGACCTTTCCAGCAGCAATCCTTCACCATTAAGCCAGGCAAGCAGGTTGTTAAACCTGTCTGTCACAGGGTAAGTAACAGTTCACCACTGAAGTGTTCTCCTGAACCCAGATACTAAGGTAATTGCTAAAGCAGTAAATGGCAGTATAACCTGGGAAGGCATTCATCACTGTTCAGCATCATAGATTAGGTGCCAGAGCACTGGAACTATCACCAATACATAGGAGGGATATAATAGTATCTTGAATAGCCCCTTCCCAAATCAGTCATGGAAATTAATTCTGGCAGAACATTCCTCTTGGACCACTAATAAAAATTTCTCTTTCCTTCATTTTGTCCCTTCGACTGTAGTAGGAGAGTAGAAACTCATTGTCTACACTGAGTAGAGACCTAAAGTTTCAAGACAAAGTAGAAGAAAGACAATTTAAACAAATGGTTTGGAAAGGCATAAGGTTATTTTGTATGAGGTAGAAATTTTTACCTCTTCCCAGAGCTGGCTAAAAGCTTTCAGACGTTGTAACTTTCTGCCAGAAAATATTGATTTTTGAGATGGAAATATTCTGTGACAATGTATCTGTTTCCTTTAATGAAGATGTCAACGTTACTTAAACATTGTACTTTACTGAAATCTTTTAACATTAATATTCTTTAATGAGTTTAACATAAAAGTTAAAAATGCATGTTCAGTTGATAACAGCAGGGCAAAACGTTTCTGTAATATTGAAGTGAAATGTCACTGTTTTTGTGGAGTGCATTGTCAGGATTAACATTCCAAAGAAGAAATAGGATTTTCCTTACCTTACAGACAGAAATACCAGCTTGCTTACTGGGAACTGGGAGGAACACCTGAATTCTCAAGCAAGCTTTATCATTTATCTAACAAGGGGATTAATAATTCTCTACAAGGGGCAGTGTAAAAGCCTGCTGCTGTCCCTGTCCAAACACATCTCTCAGTGGAGAATTCTGCTTGAGTGAGGACTGCCAAACTTGCCACTTTGAGTATACAGAGTTTTGATTATAAATGGAAGATATGGGTAAGAAAACAGTATGTCTCTGCTCAAGGATTTAATGCAGTTAACTAATCCACTTTAAATCAGTTCAGATTAATGTCCTGACTGACCCCCATATAGACAAACCCTTAGAGAATGCCAAGGCCCCATTGTGTCAAGCAGGGTAAGAACAGAGCAGCAAATATTTTCCCTACTGTAAGATTAAGACCAATCTAAAATTGTAAAAGAATGTAAATAGCAACTCTTTAAAGGTAAGAGATAAAGAATATTTGGATAACACTCAAAAAAGCAGACAAACTACTGACTTAATCATCTTACAATTAAGATACAGACATAAAATGATGGGATTGTGTAGGGCTGATTGGCTTTTTTAACAGCAGGTATAGATCTGAAAGCTAGTGATTGGGTTTGTTATTTTCTATCCATATGCAAGACAGTGTGTGCTAATGAGGAAATACCTTCCTATATGAAAACCCAGGTGGAAGTGGCTAATGAACTGATAATGAGGCAAGGAAGACAGAGGACAAAAGTTAAACTTCCCTAATTGATGAAGAGAGAGAAAGAGGATGCCGAGTGCTGTTGGATGAAGGTGCTGGGGTTGCAGGCTCACAGAGAAGATTTCTCTCATTAGTGAAATCTCTGTGGCTGCAGGACAGAAGCAGAGCTCTGTCTGTGTGGCAGGCTGGAGAGTGCAGTCCGTGCCCAATGCCAGAGAGATAGGAAGTTTCCCTTCAGCCTGGCCAGCATATATTGCACATTAGTTCCAGTGCTGCTCTTCCTTTTGGGATCAAAGCCACATGCAGTTTATTATGACAATAAAATTTTCCTCGTTTTAGAATTCAGTTTTCAACCATCTCATTTGCTAAATGAAGCGTCAGCATAAAAAGTGAGATAAATTTTTTTTAAAAAAGGAGAAGAAAAAAGCAGCCGGGGTGCCGACTTCATCTGTATTCTCCAAAATGTCATCGGAAGTTTGCCTTGCAGAGCCTGCTGCTTGTTGCCTCCATCTACTGGCCATAGTTTGGAAACGCACAGATACTGAAAACCTGCACTTGGGAGCAGAGGCTGACTCTGGAAAGCTTCTGAATCTCATTTGGCACAGCAAAGCCTGCGGATGCGTGAGAAACTAGGCTTAATTTGAGGGTCGTTGCTGGTCATTGAAGAATCCCAGTGTAGAACCTGTGTGTGCCAAGTGAGGTGACAGGACCTGCCACAGCAACCTGCAGGAGTCAGCCTGGGCGATGAGTGGAGGAGTGAAGGGCACTCATAGTGACTCCAGCACCTTACAGACAAGTGAAGTCCTGTTCCCCACCCTTTGGAATCCAGATGTCAGAAACAGGAAGCAAACCCCAACACGGTACATTAGTACAATATTCCCAGTTTGGCAAAGGCACTAGCTTAATGTCATGGGCTGTGATTCCTAATCCTTTCCTGCCCTTGACCCCTGCTGTCTAGATTCAAACTTGTAACCATTAATGGGGCTGGATCAAAACACTGGCCTTCTGGTGTCACCAGTGGTGTTTAGAGGGGATTTAAACTCCCGGCTTTTCAGCACAGTGAAATGAACACAGCAGTAGATTAATGCAAGGATTTGAGCTCACACAGCATGAGAGCTTTCAAAAATAGTGTTAACAGAGCTACAACTGCCTCTTTCAGGGGAAGCAAAATGAGGGGAACAGAACAAATGAACAAACACAGGGCAAAGCCTTGTCGCTACGGGCAGGGCTCCTAAGCACGGGGAGCCAGGGAGAGGGCCAGCGAGCCCACTGGCAAGTGGGGCAGGAGCTCTCCCAGCCCTTTGTGTCCTGCAGGAACGGGTGCTCCAGCCAGGGCTAGGGTAAAAACGTGCCGGGGTAAAAGCCCCGTGGCTCCACGTAATTACCTACCCCAAGTGTCCCTCCTGCAGAGAGGGAGTGAGATCACAAGCTCTAGGGCTGGCCAGGGAAGAGCTGCTCACTCATCCTTCCTGTTCACAGGGGTTAGGCACAGGCTGAGAATTTGGCAAACTGCAGGCAATGGGCAGGAGGCCCGTTTCTGAACGCCTTTGTGTGAGAAGGCAGAGGGGCACAGGCTGGTCAAAGGCTCCTCTGCACGTTTCATCCCCTGCCAGCTGCCCATAGAGGGGGCAGGGGAGCTGCTCGTCCCGCTGCCCTGCCTGTGCCTGCTCACAGACCACCCAGCCCATGCTCTATCTCCTCTTCAGGCTCTGCAGCGGGATGTGCTCAAGCCCACAGCAGCGACAGGAAAACATCTAAAGGTTTCCAGCTCCCATTTCAAAGATTCCCACTAACCCATCTGGCCCAGGAACCTTCCCAGTAACAATCTCAGTCTCGGACTGAGCCTACACTGCTGAATCCAGTGGGAGTTTTGCCATCAACTTCAATGAGAATAGGATCACACCTCAGCGCTTTGTTTTGCCCGTGTTAGTTCCTCGCCTCGGGCAGGAACCTGTTTGTTTGTTTGCTGCCTGCACTCGCTGCGAACATCAATAGGACTAGCTAAGCATTCAAGCCATCAGATTTGGGGAAGCACTCCGAAGTTTGTTTGCTTATCTGAGCCGTACCAGGCACTCAGATTCGAACAACTGGGCTGGAAATAACCTCCAGAGGTTTTCTCAGGCAGAATCCACAGCTTCCACTTGGGCTGAGTGTGTCCTGTGGGGGAAACAGCCCTTGTGCTTCACAGAGGAGAGGGGGAGTGCACAGGGGCATGGGAACGGCAAACAGCTTTAAACAAAGGGACTAACTTCCCTTCTTACCAGCAGCCCCATCAAAAATTACTTGTTTTAGTACATGACTAGGGAAAATAGTCCATCTCTGACTAAACTATCCAGACTGGTTTGTATAATCCAGGTGTGAGCCAGGTGCTTGGTTCCAGTACATGGCTGGAGCTGGAGCAGCTCAGAGCACCTTAGGCAGGCTCTGAGGAGGGGAAAGAGGTGCTGCCTCTCCAGCTGGCACTGCTCTTGTCCCAAACACTGGCTCATCAGCCCTCTCGTGTGTGTTTGCTACCATGGTGGGATGCTTCCACAGGAAGGTGTCCTCTAACTCCTGCATTCCTGTCTGTGCTAGCTACAAAGGCAACAGCATCACAGCACAGGTCAATTCTCTCCCACTGGAGTCCATTAGGGAAACTTCCTATCAAGCTGGAAAAGCAACTCAGCCTTGAGAACTGTTTATGATGGCTAGACTGGTCTTTACTGGAGCTATTTTCGTGCTGCCTAGGTGCCTGGCCTCTCTCTCCCAGCCCTGCCACTGGCACCCTCTGCAGCAGCAGAGGAGGGCACTGCTGCTCAGACAAAGTAGAGCTGAGCGTAGGTCACTGCTCAGTGCAGTTCTGGCATTCACACGTTCTCTGTTGTCTGCAGTAGTTTCTTTGCTACAGTAGCCTTAATGCTTGCACTTTTAGGTTGTCCCTGTAAGTAGCCTAAGGATACCTAACCACATCAGGATACCTAACCATCATTGCTGAGGGGTCTTGGCCTTGTAGGAGCAGATGACCAGCATAAAAAAATTCTTTGTGATCAGTTTGTTCCACAAACAAGCATTTCTTTCCTCCCAGACTACCCTTCCCAACTTGTAGACTACCCAGACAAGCCTTCAACAACTTAGAAGAAAGTGCTTCCTCCAGCTGTCTGCTCTGTGCTTGCTCCCTATCCAAATTAAACTTGCTGTGGACAGCGACACATTCCCATTTCACGCTGGTTTGATTAATGTGTCTCAGCTAATTGTGTGAAGGATTCCAGTGCTTTGGACTGTGAGACCAGGTTATTGTTCAGCCAATCGCAGCGACCATGTGAAAATGGGGGCTGTTTAGTGTTCATGCACCAGAATCAAAGGAGGGGCATCTTGGACTGGGTCACAGAGAAACACCCACTTCTTTGAAAAGACGTTACTATGCTCTACTAAACCTGTAAACCTCTTGCTCAAAGCACGTCTTCTCCCTCCTCCTCTCCCCCCTGCTTTTCCTCCCCCCTTGCAGATAGACAGGCTGCCCCCACCACTCTCTTAGGCTACAAGTGAGAGAGAATGGCTAGATTGTAGATGGGTGGATTTCACATTCTAGGGTTTTTAATATTTCACTTTCATATTTCTAGTACAGAATGATCCTGCTGAGAGGCTGAGAATCAGTGCTCATCATTTCCCCCTCACTGACACTTGAATATATTTCCCCAAGAGAAAACATTAAACAAAAAGAGAAAGAGATAAAGGCAGGGGGAGAGGGAGAGTCACTGAGCTAGCTTTTCAAAGCATACTTCTCAACCTGCCCACATCAAAATAAGAGACAACTGGCCCTTTGAAGTCCAGGACACAGACTTCTCTACCAGCCCATGTGGAAATAAAAGAAGCCAGCTTTATAAATCACACAGATCTCTCACCTTGCCCACATCAAAATCAGGGACGGTGACCTTTAAAACTGAGGTTTAAAGGCCCCCAAACCAATCTCCATAAAAATAAGGAGAGTTCAGATAAATTGTGTCTCCAAGTACCTGTCAGCTTTTCCAGTCTAAACCAGGAGACATCAGTCCTTTGCACTGAGGAGTGGAGGCTAACTACATTGTCAGCACTCACAGCAATGAAATCTTCCATCAGCCCAGCTCAGCACTCAGAGGCATCTTTGCCATGCATGTACCTTTGCTTGTATATTAGGCCAGTTCCAATGGTGTTGTAGGTCCTTAAGTAGCTCGAGTGGTTCAGTAACACTGAAGCACAGGATTTTTCATAATAAGAATTACTGACCTGAAAACTGAATGGCTAGTGGCTTAGAGAAAAAGTTGGCATCCTTGTGAGTTAAGTCCTACCTGGATTATAGTTGGGGAGCTTGGAAAGTCCTGGCCAAGTGTCCTCAGTCGGGGCCCCCAATACCTGTGCAAAAGAGGAAAGAGAGTGGGAAGAACAATAACCTCTCTCTGCTGGTACTCTGCCTTGGTGTGGAGCTGGAGGAATCGATCTCCATGGAGAGAGATTGGCCTTTACTGTAAACCAGCAAAGATTGACACTGCCCTGGCTGCTGCTACATCTGCTACTGCACATAAAGGGCACTGACAGTTCAGCACTTGATTTTATAGCAGGAAGGGACCTGCTGGGAACATCAGTGAAGGTGTATGCAGGCTCATTGCCAGGTGCCACTCCTGCATGCATTTGCCAGCCCAGGGGTCACGTTGTGGAGCCCTTTTCACTGCTGAAGGTGTGCTCCTGCACCAGGGCTGCACTGGGACTGACTCAGCCATGACAGAAACCCCTGCCATTCTGAGGTGAAAAACAAAAACTGGTATACAGGTCTACTGACAGGTGCTGGAAAGCAGCCCAGTGTCTCACCCTGAAGGGTCCAGAGCTTCAGCAGTGTCTTTGGCCTTTATTCTGAATTGTGGGCTTCAGAAGCAGTCTTTCAGTGAGGCTTTCCTCACTGAGCAAAGTCTGGGCCACTAAAGCCTCTTCCAACCTCATTTGAGGTGCTGAAACGTGTGAGATCAAGCATATCTGGATTTCTGTGCCAGTTGCTGTTGCACATGTGTAGTGTTGTTATTATCACTTTCTGCATGCAAAGTGCCCTGTGCCTAGTGATATGGATGAGTTGCTCTAGAGGTAAAACCACGTATTTAAGAAGAGTTCACAGCACAGGATGTGGCATTATAAACCAGCATTGTTAACTCCAAGCATTCAAAGCTTTTCATCCAGACTTCCTTAAAAAATTGTGAAATTTTGACATGAAAACTGTCAGGGGTTTTTAGTCACTTTTGCTCCTCCAACATTAAATTTGTGTCACATTACTTACATTTTGCATATGATAAGACAATTCCTTTTCCTTAAAATGGAAGCTGAGATATATGATGTGGGGAATTTGGCCTCACAGAAGCTTGTGATAAGATGGGAAGAAAAGAGGCAAGAAAATTTAAGATGGTAAGAAATTTCTTTGTTGAAAATCCAAGTGTGTGTTCTGAAGTGCCATTCCTGTATTCATCTGGCCATTATTCTTCAAGGTTTCTTGTGAGCCACTGGGCATCTGTCCTAAAGGCATCAGTGGGAGCTGGGGAAGTTCAGTACATGGTGGAATCATGCTCCCCAGGGTTAGCTCAGCACTTGGCCTCTCTTTGGTGAAGTGTTTTAGAAAATAGCTATAGTATCTTTTCTGAGCCTTTACTTTACAAAAGATGCTATTCCACCCCATGAATTTGGATCCATTTTTTAATTTTCAAGGTAATGGGGCAGATGATTTTTATTATTTTCCTTTTTTTTTCCCCTCTGGACCTTTAATGAGATTTCTTGCCAAATCAGACAATGAGTTACATTTATTTCATTGAAATTTATTATACTCTGGGGTTTATCTGTTGTATATCCACCTGAAATCTAGCTGTTGACTCTCCACCAGACAAAGCAAACCAGCTTCTCTGTACTTGCTACTCTGCCAGGCTTCCCCAAGCAAGCACGTTTTACTGCAGTGAAAGGTCTTGGTGCAGCTCAGTTCAGTCCTCTTTGGCAGAGGCCTCGTTTCAGCCAAAAACATACTGACAATGCCCACATTTCAGCAAGTGCTTTAAGCTGGGGTAAATCACTGTGTCCTCCCCCTGCCCTCTAACTTCTTGCTTCTCCTGGGCTGAACCAGCTGCAGTGACCCCCCACGCTGGTGTTGCTGCGTGTGGTTGGGAAGCTGTATTGTAGGTGGCATGCTGTAGCCTGACACAGCCCACACGAGGTCCTCCTCAGCACAGTGGTAATCAATTGGATGGAGTGCTTGAATGCAAAATCCACAGCTGATCTCTTGAAACTTCAATGCTGGAGCTTTAGTTTGGCAGGTTTACTTTCAATGCTGTGGGAGGACTGGAGACACTGCAGTTCTCCTTCACTCGGGTCATACCTCCATAACTAGCACTGCCAGCCTAAGTAGCCCCTTCCTCTGTGTCCCCTTCCTGTTTGGTCCTGCCCCTGTGCCATCCATTCATGAGTGCCACTGGCCAGTAGTGCTACTGTTTGTGCAGCCAGGTGATGAACTGGGTAAATAAACTGTTCTTGTTTAGAGTAACCCAGGGAGAGAATCAAGTTATAGGTTCTCCTGCTCATGCAGCCCCACATGCAAGAGGTGACACAGGAGCAGGAATAAGCAGGCTGGGATAGAAATGGGGAATGGAGACTGCTTAAGGTGGCACTTGCCTCTAGAAGAAGAAATGCTGGTGAGGTGACAGTTGTTCAGTCCTGATGATTCAAGAGGGCAAACACATTTCACAGCATGGGGATTTTCCAGCCATATATCTATATGAAGTTTGGACCAACAGTCCTACGTGGACATAAGCATGGTGGGGGATAGAGACTCCTGCACAAATGAAGACAGTCTCTAAACCAGTGCAGGGTGCCTCTATTATTAGTACATGAAAGGAACTGACTATTATAAAACAGTAGGAATCCCCCTTCTGAACCTCACACTCAGCAAAATATCTCAAGTCAGGCACTGAAAGCCTCTGAGAAGCTTTGAAATCTTGGCCTAACACAGAGCCTAATTCCAGCCTGTATAATAACATAAAACCATCTGTGAAAGGCACTAATTATTTCGTGGCTGTTAAAGCTTCCTCATGTTTTTTTAAATAAGGTTTTTTTTTTTTTTTTAATTCTATAGCACAAATCCTATTAATCATGGTATTAGTTATAATACCAGCAAAATTATGATAGGGCTATAACCCTCCAACTGCAAAACCACAGGAAATGTATCCAGAGATTTCAGAGCCATAAGTGGAAGGATACCCTTCATTCACACTCTGGGAAACTGGGGCCTGCCCTGGCTTTGAACCCTGTTAATTAGCCAAGTATGGATCTTTTTTTCCTCAGTCATTTTTTTTTTCCTCCCCCACTCTCCATGAAAGAGAAATTCAGCATTTATTTAAATGGACTGAGCTCGAGTCTAAGAACTGGATCCACTTGTCTGACTTTTTAAAAGCAGAGAGGAAAACCTTACCTGGAAGGAGTGTTTCTGGATGAAGGGACAAAGAAGGAAAAATCTGATTTACTCAGACTTGAGGCTATAAAGTCCTTTCTCACCAATTTCCAAATTTCACTTTTCTGAAAACCCATGTTTGGTAAGCACTCTGTACAGAAGAGTAAATCCCTGGGAGGAGATGTAACAGGGCAAAGACCTACAGGAAAACTCAGTAGGAATCTATAGGTTGACCTTCCTCTTGAGTCAGTAAGAAGGTCACCAATGAGCAGACAGGAACACACAGAATCTGCTAGTGCTGATTTGCTGCCTCAATTCTACCAAGTCACACGAGCATGGGGTTCTGTGTTTCCTCAGCAGAACAAACAGCTTAAGAGGCTCCAGAATATGTCTGCTCCCATTCATTGCTGCCTTTATAAAGTGATTTCACACTTCCCATTATGCCAAAGAAGTCTCTAGAGCTGCACCATAAACAGGGTGATACAAAATGTTCCAAGTTAAAACGAAGAAGGATCTCTGAAAAACTTCAGGGTCTTGCCATTTTCAAAGTAGTTTAGGAGGAGCAGTATTAGAGCTCCTCTGTGAGAATATGGTGTGCTGCACCCTACAGTGAGTAAAGGACTGAACAAGAAGGAATAGAATTTGCAGTACCTGCACACCTTTTATGCCTTCTTCAATTTGATGTCACTTTAATGGGCTTTAAATTTTTGATGAGGTGACAAACATCAAAGGAAAGTAATTTGATTTACTCCTGTGTCTGTAAGAAAGTTACCAAATACAAAATGGGTTACAAAGTCTGCTATGAATTTGGCAGATTAGACCAAATTATTTCTGCTGCTCACAGGACCTCTTCTTAGGACTTCAAAATTAAGTAGGGGTCTGTAGCAAGTTTCTTTTTCTCTCCCATTTCAGGGTATATTTTACTCACCGCCCAGATCTTCAGCAGTTGTTCCTGAGTACCAGAAGTTCCTGCAAATACTGGCTGGCCCTGGATCATTTCAACAAATACACAGCCTGCACTCCTGTAAGAAACCCAAGGTATTAACTCATTCACATACATGACATATATAATATGATATGATTGTTAGGATGGGCAGGGGACAGAGGAAGAGACATAATTATTGGCATGGAAATGCAGAAATCCTGACACAAGCTGCAGCTCAGGTCTGAAAAGCACCAATCTGCTGTGTAGGTTTGTATACCTACCTCATGTCATCTAGTGAGAGCATGTATGAAACAAGGCAGGACATGGGGTGTCTTTATATGTGTAAATAAATACAGGCTGCAGTGAAGACTGACATATATCTGCAGTATGGCAGTAGGCAGGATGGAGCATTATAAAAATTCCTACTGGTTGTGGGAAGTCAGGAAGGTTTCCTTTGGAAGGTCCCTCTTACATATCCCTGGCTTTCCAGCACTGTTCTAAGCACGGGCAACTGTCCCTTGTTGCAAGTTGTATGTAATATCATTAATGTCATCCAAGTCCTACAGACTGAAACACTTGAATGAAAAAGCTGACAAGTCAAATGGGATGGGAGCAGCCTAGAGATACATCACATTTACATCCCTCCAGGATTTAAAAAAACAACCCCAGAACAGTAAAAATTCCATACCAATCTGTTCCCATGTCTTTTTTTCTCATCAGCACCATCCATTAAAAAAATCCCTCACCCTTCACCAGCAAGACCAGACAGGTGATATCCTTGGAAAAGAAACCCTCTAGGCACTATCTTTTTTTTTTTTTTTCCAGCACCAAATTACCTGTTTCAGGTCACTTTCAGTTTATCCTGCTACAAACCCATGGCAGAAGCCTGTGGAATACTACTTTTTCCATGAGAAAAAGGTTCCAAATTGCAGTGATAACAGTAGGAAGAATAATCGTGGAACTAGTACACACTGTGTTGGCTTGAAGGATACATTAGATGCAGAAAGAACCCAGAGGCACTAACTGCTAGAGTGACTTTTCCTTCAGAAGCAATTAGCTCTTCACTGAAAACCTGAAGGAAAAATTTCATAGCATAAAGGACTTGGTGACAACAGCAAGTTAAAGTATTCTTATTTTTATGCCATCTGCTGCTTTATTTGTGCCAAAGCAAACCAGCCAACTTAAAAAGAAAACCACCAAAACTTGCAAAAAATGCTTAATTTTACTAAGGTGGATTACTCCTGCTGGCAATAACAATGAGACAGTTGTGGTCAGGGTAAACTTACCTATTTGCAAGTATTTCCATCTCCTACTGTATGGTGTAAAACTCTGCTCACTTTTTGATTTTTTTCCTCCAAACATTTTCTAGATTTCCTATATTTCACAGAGCCCTATCCCAACCTTTCAGGTTTCAGTCTCAATCTTCCTTGGTTATAGCAAATCTGAGTCCTTCCAACTTCCTTCAGACATTGAGAACCCAGCTTTGTCTAACAGGCTCTGAAAGCATTATTTTCACTTGCTGAGCTCCAACTAGTAATCTCTTCTGGTCACCTGTACTGCTGTGTTACCCCTTGCACCTTGTTTCACAACACTGTAGATGCCTCTCCCACCTGACTGTGGTCATGTGAAAGCCTGACATGCAACTCATCTGAGGTGCTCATTTTGGTTATCCTTGCACATCAGGTGATGCCAAGTTTATTTGCAGTTCCATATCTAATGCTGTTTTCACAAACATTTCTGCTGTCTTGAGAGCACAGCTCCTGACTTGTTTCCTAAGCTCTTGCAGAGTCCAGGCATCATGAAACTTAACCCACAGCTTTTGCAAAATGGGTTGGGTTTTTTTGTTTCATAGCACTATCACACCACTAGTTATTATTTTAGAGCCCACAGATTGATTCTACTGAGATCAGTGTCACACCAAACCTCTGTTTTCACAGCTGATGTATGTCCCCAAATGGTTCACCCTATTTTGCAACCACAGGGGCTGCTGTAATCCACTGAATCTGTTGCAGAAATTTAACTATGTATGGTGGAAGCAACTGAGGGACTCTTGCATTGTAATGAGAAGAGAATCAGCTCTATGTGGTTTTGGAGCAAATGATCCTGATGTTCACCCACATTTGGGTTCTGATATCCTAGCTAGAAATGGCTGTTAAACTGGCAGCAGCAGAAACACTGTCTGGACTCACTAAAGCCCCAAAATGAGACAGCGGCAACTAGACCTTCTACAGAGATTCTTTCTGATGAACAGTGCTGGCTGTATGGTTTCCTAAATTGAATTTAAGACCCTGAGGATCTCAGGACACAGCTGGAGGTACACAGCAGTTACCAAGGAAGAGGAGCTAGTAACAGTGAAAGTGCCCAATAAATGTGGTTCCTGTCACACTGCAAGGGTCTGAGCGGCAGAACTCACAGCAGACAGAAAACCAGATCTGCTAAGGTTTCTGTTTTTCCTGAGCAAGGTTTGAAATCCAGACAGAGCAATAAATGGAAGTAAGAATTAGAAAGCTGGGGCTTTTTTTCCTAGATTCAGCAAGCATTTGCTAAGAATTACTCATGAGCAAAGAGGTCAAAAATTCACATCTGATGAAACAGTCTTTTCACTAGGGAGCAAGCCGTCAGTTTGAGGAGAGGAACGACTTGTGGGTTGTTACAAATGCACCTTTTGGAAGACCTCTCTTTTGTGTTCCTTATTTATTCCCATTATCTCTGGAAGCCTTAAAACCTCAGTAGTTCTGATAAAGGCAAAATTATCAGAGGAACCACAGCTGCTGGAGAGGAAGTGTTTGTTTCCTGTGATGAGACTCAGCTGACCAGCTGCCTTTAATGCCTGCTTGATACTGTATTGATTAATTGAGTAGCAATTATGACTGTTTCTGTGTGTTTCCAGATGAAATATGCTTTTCTTTACAAAAAAACAGCCCAGAAGTAGCTAGAACAACTGATGTATGGGCATCCCCCTCTTTCCTCAGGTATTTTTGTCTGTCTGTTAAAGAAAGACTTTGGAAACTAGTGCTAGTCGTCACATTAGCCTTTCAGCAGAGGCCTCAACCTTCCAAAATACAGGATCTACAGTTACTCTTCTGACAGCATTATGAAGATCCTTCTGTTCATAAGGATGATTCAAAGGCATTCACTTTTAAATACTTCTAAAGGTTTAGACTTAGTGTTGTTTTGGTTTTCCCCTTTTCCTTCTCACCCCCCTGATATTAATTTCCAAGGTTCTCTGACCTCTTCAAGTCAATGGGTTTCTCAAAGAGCCTCAGTCCTGTATAGCTGCCTTGGAAGGAGCTAGGGCAGAGACAGGAATCTTTTGGGAAGAGGCCTAGACATGATGTTCCAGCATGTGCCAGATATGCACATGAATCCAGACAGTGACTGCTAAAGTAACAGGAGAGGTATAACTGGCTACAGGGACATGTAATGAGCATAAACAGAGAGGATTCAGACAGCACAGTTTCATCTGCCTGCAGTCCCTGGGGCACGTTTGAACACTGCACTTACTCCTCAGCCTACAGTGGCTGCATCACACAGTGGAGAGATGACTTCATCAGGATTAAGATCTAAAATATCTCTGCAGCATCTCAGAGTTCCCTCTCCACAGTTTTTCTGGCATTGGGAGACTGCAGTTTTATGTTTTACCAGAAATATATCCTTTCTCTTCTTCCTCACCAAGTGTGGTCTGTACAGTGGAGCCCTTAGCCTCTGGTTCCCAGTTTGGCATAGCAGGGCAATGGGAACCAGGCTGGGGAGAAGGTTGTAGTGGGCTTGGCAGGTCCACACTAAATAACTGAACAGAAACTCCTATTCTACATTAATCTACCTGGGAAGGATCCTGTGATTTATTTTTTTTTAAATGGAACATAATACACTGAAAAGAAGACATGACTTAAGGCACTCGTGATGTTAGCAGCCATTAATGTGGCACGTGCATAAAAGAAAAGAAAAAAGTCCTTCTGATATGCAGTGTAATCTCCCTGAAATGTTAGTCTCCCTGAAATCCCTTAATTGAATCTTCTAAAGTCCTGAACAGATAGTGAGGGAGAGAGAGAAAAAAGATACAGAGAGATTAAAGCAGCTTTTCTAGTTAGTCCAAGAGTGAGTGAGTCTCCTTCTGCATCTCTTTCTTCATCCCTTCAAGGACTCATTCACTTCCCATGTGCCTCCCACTGACAGTATTGCTGCTCAAGCACACTGTGCATGAATTGCCATAATGTTTTATTTTGTTATAATTGGGTTCTTTAAACCAAGGCTTTAACACCCACTGCCTCATGCTATTACCAAGGGCATTCTGACCTGCCTTCATGTAAATTGCAGCATCCAAAAGGCATAGGGTTTTTTTTTTTTCCCTTTCTTCCCAATAGACAAGTAACATCTGTGTGAATTCACATTATTTCCTAATAGACAAAAATTCAACTTAAATGCAATGTACATCAAGATAATAAATGACTCTTGTTAGAGGAAGTTACTGAATAGAGCTCACTGAAGTACTCTCTATTCTCTCAGCGTGACATCTTTCTTTAGGGCAAACACTTTGAGTGTTGTTATTATAAGGAGGTGTTATAACAAAGGTGCCTTTAGTGTGACTGTAGTTCAGTGGGACTGGGAGTACTGTGCTGTTAGAGCTGGTCAGAGAGCTGGATGGGATCTTTGTATGCCACAAAGCTTGCTGCTCCTTACACTCGAGCAGAGTTACCTAGTGGGGATGTTGGTTTTGCCAGGCTTTCTGTGCACAGCCAAGGCTTTGGACAGGGCTCAACTTTCAGAGAAGAAAAAACCCAGGCTTACACCAGTACCTGTCTAATACAAACCTTCTAGTCTGCTAAGCAGCATCTTCTTCAAACTCAGCAGACGTTCCTGAGAGACTGTCTGGACAGGAGAGGTGACAGGTAGTGGGGGAGAGAAGACAGGACTATTTAGACTTGCTTAGCAGCTGGAAGCCATTAGAATTTAGCAATTTTTCCTCCTTGGAGAAATCTTTAAGCAATTAAATTAGCAGCAGGCCTAGGGAAGTGAACAAACAGAAAACTCCTGTTTTCCTGAACTGCCCTCCAGACTTAGGCCATCTGAGTCTCTGATACACCACAGATCTCTGGAGGGAGATGCAGCCTGAGAAGACCTGGAGCTTTGCTGTTTATGAATTTATCTGTCCCACTTCTTGCACGTTCTTCAGCCTGCTGCACTCCCACCCTTTCCCAGCCTTTGACTCTGCAGAGAGGTGAAGAAAAGCACCAGTGTGACAGGCCCAGCAGAAAACAAACTGAAGAAAGGGTGGAGGTCTGAAGAAAGGTGAAGCAGCAATACTATCTGCAGATGTTAAATTGCCCAGAATAAGGTGGGTCTCCTGCAGCTTCATGAGCTTCAAGTTGTCCATGAGTAAGTCAGGCCTGTGTTGCTGGAAGCAGTCTCAGGCTGATGCAGAAGTGGGCCAGAAGGCAGATGAACCCAAGGGCCTACCTATACATCCAGGCCAGCCAAAAAGGACCTGTGAACCTCTGTGAAGCCCTCATCCTCTCCTGCTTTCTGCCTGCTCTCAGCCCACAAAGTATCCCAGAAATAATGAAAATCAGAGACCTTTCTACCTCCAGACCTATTCAGGAACACTGTAATGCCCTGTTTTGTTGCCAAGGCCAAAGTCATTGTGGGTGCAGTTGTGACTAGATCCCTTGTTTCTCCACAAAGCCATCACTGCAGAGAGCTGCCACTGACTCCAACAGCCACAGAGATACAAAACAATAAGTGCATTAAGCAAAGGTGTTGCAAGATCTAGAAATGCTTCATAAATTTTACCAAATGACTTGTACACATCTCATAAATATTATCAGATTAGGTTTCTATAAATCCATAGCTGAGGTGTAGCAACATCATTCCTAAAACCTTCTCTGAACCCAGCAGTACAAAACTCCCCACTGCTCACACATTTTCTGCTCACAGGTGTTAATTCCTCTTACAACTGTACCTGCTGAGCTTGGGTGACTTGATTCAGATAAAGATAATTTTTCCCAAGGGACCCTAGATGCTTTGAAATTGGTCAGTACCAGATATCCAAATCAGAAGAATAATCTGTAGCTCCAAGCAGCACATCAGGAGGATGGTACCAGAGTGCCACCACTTCAGAGGAGTAGGTCTGTCTGGGGATGGACTTGGCTCGAGCAAGGCCTGCCAAAAAAAACCCAAACCAAAACACTGCTGTGTTAGGACAGCCCTTCTACCTGTACAATGCATAGATGAGAATAACTGGAAACAGGACATTATTTTCTCCTGGATCTTTAAACACAAGCAATCCCAATGCAGTTTACAAGCAATTGACAAAGAATGTGTGTCTGGAATATACCTCTGGGGCAGATCATATCAAGCAATATGCTGTGCTTTACAAGGCTTTACCATGTGACTGAAGCAGCCATCCCAAACCAATGCCAAGAAAGCCTTTTTTTTCCAACACATTGCAGCTGGTTCTACATGTTACATTATTTTCTGAAGAGAGATGTGTTGATTCTCAGTTCCCTTGAATCAATTTTAGGTAGCAGTAATTGCTGTGTCTTAACATGAGGTTAGTCCCTCCACCTATCAGTATGAAGAAGGCAAGAGAAGCTGGACTGGCCACAAAAATAGACCAATTTTAGGTGGCAGTAATTGCTGTGACTTAACATGAGGTTAGTCCCTGCACCTATCAGTATGAAGGCAAGAGAAGCTGGACTGGACACAAAAATAGTTTCCTGAACTTCGGTAAGAGGTTTTCCTTTTATGCCTTAATTGGCTCTGGATAGAGATCTATATGCACCCTAAACCTTCAGTCTGAGCAGCTATATTAGCAGTACCCAAACTGTGACTCACCAAAGTCAGCTAATTTGAGCTCACCAAGGCAACTGATGAGCAAGTTCTGGGGTTTGAGATCCCGGTGCAGGATGTGTTGCTGGTGGATGTAAGCCAGGCCACGCAAAAGCTGGAACATGAAGAGCTGGAAAAAGCCAGAAAAAAAAAAAGAAATTATTTTGTGTGACCCTGTATTGATACATTAACTCTGAACTTCAGGAGAACTCCTGGAACAAACCAGAGACAAAGCCAGTAAGAAACCAGTAAAAATCCCAAAAAATGAGTAGACCTGCCTGAGGAAGAAAAAAACACGGTGAGGTATGACTGCACTGCAGCTTTCTGAGGGTTTTGGGGTGGAATATTTGGCCAGGAGGGTATTTATAGTGCAGTCCCTAAGCACACATCTTAGAAATTCAGTTTTTCTTTAGAAATGAACTCACAGACCTGGCTCTCAGAACAGCATATATTCTGATTTCAGTGTTCAGAACCAATAACAGCCAAACAAAATGAAGGTGGAAGGAGTTGGGAGTTTTGCCCATTTAAGGCAGCTGATACCAGTGAGGGTGTTCTGTGGCCACTGTACACTCCACCTCTTCCCACTAGAAGCTGGATCAGTGAACTGACATACATGACAATGTGAGCTGTTTTCTTCAAGCTGGGAGAAAACACAAGGGGCTGACAGCAAATAAGATCTGATGAACAGAGTGAGGAAGCAAGAAATATTTAACTCCCACCACCACGGCAGTGTAAATAAGCCTGGGGTAAAATAGGTTGGGCTGAAACAAGGTATGAAATTGGACAGTGGATAGACACAAAACACAGCAAAAATAATTAGACTTCACCAGAGAAGAGATTTTTTCACCAGGAGCTTAATGTGAAGAGGAGGAAAAACAGTGACACCCATAGGTCATTTTTGTACCAGAAAAGTTCCCTGCAATAATCTGCATACCCACATCATATTCGATAGAAATCACTCAAAGAAAAAGCAAACAACATTTGCCAGCAAAAATGAAGCAAGCTAGGATTTACCCTCCTAAAAAGGAGGAGCAGTAAATCATTTTGCAGTTGTGTTCCTGCTGCGCTGAGGATTTTGGGCAGGAAAGCAGAGCAGCTGGCTGGTGTTCACTTACAGGAGCCCCTGTGCCAGCCATGGACTCCATGGGCTTTACAAGCCTGCCTGGCAGCAGAGCCCTTGAGACCCGTGCCAAAACTACAACACTGCATCTTGTACACATCTGAGCTTTAAGGATGTTTAAAATTTGGGGCCCCAAGAAACTTCATTAGAATTGGTGTTGCTTAATAACTATCTGGAAGAAGAAGTGAACAAGGTGGCAACATTTGAAGATGACAGAAGTATTTAGATTAGGCATGATAAGAAGTGACAGTGAGGAGCTTCAGAGAGATCTGACAAAGCCAGATGAATAGGCAGCCTGATAAGATACAAAGTTATTGTTGACAGCTGTAAGATAAATTAACTGAAGCTGCTCTGAAAAAGGACCCAGGCATTCACTGAGGACATCTGCACTGAAACCTTAAGTCAGTGTGCAGCAACAAGCCTGAAAGTTCATCGAATGTGAAGATGTGTACAAAGGAAAGTAGGAGACGATTATAACATCAGTCTATGAAGTAAGGGTACATCTTCACCTGTGCTCAGGTCCAGTCAAAAGCTGCAGTGGAAACAGAAAGGATTTAAATGACTGAACATGAAGATAATTCCAGATGAGGGGAGAATGAGATTTGAGTTTTTTGACCTGAGAGATGAATAATGTATTCTAATAAGGATACAAATTTGTGTAGAGACAGATTTGCTTGCCACAAGATTTCATTGTTCACAAATGCTGAATGAGCTCTTGCAGGCTCAGAAAATGGGAGCGACTCACCTAAAAAAGGCTTTGGAAACTGAGAGAGAGGTTGTTACATATTTACCAAAAGCAGCTTCTCTCCAAAGTGTTTGTCATATATGGAACAGATAAGTATCAGTAAGCAATTTACAGTGACCATGCAAAGTGGAAAATGACACTTCCTCATGCTTTAACAAGCACTGGTCTTCTCAGAAACTCACCATAACATTGCATGAATTAAGTCCTCCAGGATGCTGGCCCATGTACTGTGCTAGATCTGTGTGCTAAACAGAAGATGAGAACTTGAGGCAAAGATACACGTGTGAAATGCTTCTACCAGCAAGGACTCTTCTGTAAATGGACAAAATATACAAACACAGCAAAGGTGTCTCATTCACCTTGGCAAACAGCTGATCTGATGCAGCACACAAGGATGTTCTTAAGTGCTGGGTCAAATCAGGGACCTGGCTGACCTGTTATCTCATCCTAGCAGTTTATGACCTGAAGCTGCCAGTTAACAGAATTCATACTTGTAGCAGAATCAACCATAAAGCTGCAGTAAGAAGCCATAGCCCCTGATTTTCAGTGTATTTGGTTTATAGCTATCAGCAAAAGCAACAGAAGCAGCAAGACTGATGTGGAGAACATTTTTATTGACATCCTGCCCCCTCCATGAGAGCAACACGTAGCTTGGTCATGGTGGGCCACCAGGGTCAGTGCCAAATCTGACTCCAACTGAGATGTGAGCTCCTATCATTGTTTCCTGTCCTTACTATGGCTGAAGAACAGTGCTGTTATTGTGTTGTCGAGGCAGAAATGGAGGTCAAGCAGTGTCTGGAAGATTCTCACTATTCCACAAGATGTGGAATCATTTTTGCATACAGCTGTTGCATATACAGAAAGAAAAGAGTAAGGTTATGTGGCTGGAAAGCAGGAAATCAATCACTGCACTAAAGGATTACAACTTGTTTCTTTGTGGGTGTCTTACAATGCAGTAAATCCACTGTGCAGCCATTTCCCAGTCCTTCCCAGTCCAGGAAGAATACTCCACGGGAAGCTAGAAAAAGATCAACTCACCATGTACTCAAAGACAAACGTTAGTGTCTCCTTGGCCTGGATAATGTCATGAAGCAGTACAACGTTGGCATGTTTCAAACACTTGAGAAGAGAAGCTGGGGAAACACAAAGGGAAGGTCAGCTGTGCTGCTGCTGGGAGGGGAAGGAGAAAGTGCACACAGAAAGGAAGTGAAAAGAAAAAAAAATGGGGAGAAACAGTCCAAACTTGGCAGTTCTATGAGAAGCAGCAGCTACTGAGTCTGGAGGAGATGGAACAGCTCCTTAGCTCCTCCAGGCATCAGGGCTTGGCAGGAACCTGTCCATCTCTCAGAGGTGGGATCTTGCCTCTGTCAGAAACAGCAGTTCCCAGTTCTCAGCCGTCAGCTTCACAGCTGAGGAGAAATAATTTGAAGGCAAACACCAAGAGGCAGGGGCTATGAGCTCCCAGAGCCAGGGTGCAGCAGCCCCCTGACCTGCCACTGAGCTTCTCTGCCTCCTGGCACGTGCCCTCAGCAAGGTCCTTAGGACACTTCTGGGGAAAGATGAGTTTCTATCATCTTCCAGCTTCACAGCTTAATTCTGAATTTAGCTCTGCACTTTTAGCTTGGAGAAAGCCTGTTGGTTACTTTCCCTGGTTTAAAACTCCTAGAGCAGAGATGATGAAATTGCTGAGTGAAAAACAATTTGTCTGTATTTATACAACTTTAAGATGCTTTTTCTTTTGGCCTCACTATCTAAAAGCATCACTGCAACTGGTCCTTAGGTGCTGCCATGCCTTCACCCAGCCTTAGCACATTAGGGCATGGTGACAGAGAGGGCAGCACGTGGGAGAGTCTCTGCCTCCAAACAACAGAGCACTGACTGATGCTAAGACAAAAGCTACAGCCTTTTGAGCCTTTCAGCCTTGCCTGAGGTTTCTCATGATAGAACAGGCTCCAGCCCACGCTCTTAGGAACGCAGCCTCTCAGCAGAGTCTCAAAGATGGGCTTTATGGGGGAAGAGTGTGCACAGCTTCATCTTTTGCTCCCATGGGTATGAGGCAATAGTTGCTGTAGCTCTGTACCAAGAAGGGCTGCAGGGAAGTGGTGGAGCTGGGATCACCCTGGCTGTAGGTCCCTGGCACTGCTGAAGAATCTGAGCCAGCTGTTACAGCAAAACTGTGCAGACAGAAGCTCCAAAGCTCAACAAACCCACAAGTCCTTGACTCCAGATTTTAGTTCAGCTTCTGACATAGCAGAATAGCCTCTGAGCTGCTCCAAACTCACCTTCCCTGCTAATTAAAACCAAATTAGTTTATTGCCAGACCATGCAGTGCTACAAATTTCATTCAGACAAGACATGGACATACAATCTCATTTCTGCTGAATTAGCCGAAGCACACAATACAGAGCTTGGGTGGGCTGTGGGAGGCCACATGAGTTTTGGTCCTGGATGAAAGCTGCTTTTTGTTTTTCAAACAATCTGCAAAAGATACTTGAAGAGTTTCACGCTGACAAATCAAATTTATACTGGATTAGTACTTTGCCTTTTGTGATCATAACAATTTCACCTGGTTCTGGAGCCCCCCGAGCCATACACAGCGTGTTGCACAGCTGCAGCCTAAGCACACACCAGTACTGCCACTGCTGAGCTGTAAGGGATCCCAGTTCAGCACAGCCACTGGAAACAGCACAGATTGCAAATTAGGTCTTGCACCAAGTTTGGTGCTGCTGCAGCTCAGCTTCCCCTAGCACTGATGCTGGTCTATTCAGCTACCACCAGTGTGTCCCCAGTGCACAGCAGCATGAACCTTAAACACGCTCCACATTCCATCTCATTGCCTAGGAACCCAGTAAAGAAACTGGCTAGATCCCATCTACTATGGAAAGAGACTGCTAACCTGTCTCTGTGATACCCCAAACACCCCATGTGAGAGAGCTGCTGCACCAGAGCAGCATTACAGAGGGTCCACAGTAATATGGAGAATTCAGTGCCTGTGCCTGAATCAGGCTTCTGGGAACTGCTCTTCACTTGGTTGCTTCTACAACCCCCTGCTGGGGTGTCAGGTGCTCCAGCCTGAACTGAGCTTTCAATGCATTTCTTCTCTGTGGGGCTTCCTGGGGTGAAGTGGCTCTTTGTCAGAGGAGTGCCATTCCTCCAGGGTAGCAGAGAATGCACCCTGTTAATAAATCTTGTGCTTTGTCTGTGCTACTGACTTACGTTGTAAATTTGAGGTGTCAGATGCTGCAAAGCTCAGCAGTACACAAAAGATCTGTTTAAAGTAGCCCCTTCATAGGATCACCCTTGTTTTCTCCCATAATGAATGAAGTTAAGGCTCTCAGCCTGTCCAGTAGAGCATGTCAAAGGAGTGCTGATCTTTACAGCATCATTACTTCTACCTAGATAAAGCCTTTAAGGCTTATTTTACTGGTGGGCTGCAAGTGCAAAAGCAGAGCAAAATCACCACAGCAAGTGAGTATAGAGGAAACTGAAACATTTTGCAAACAGGCATATTTAGGTATCTCTGCTTTCACACAGAACTGGACTAAGGACTTGTCAACTTTCTTATCTTCATTACACTGTTACAAACCTGCGTCCACTGACCTCTCTTATTTTCCTGAGCTGACTGGTATGAGAATCCTTCTGTGCTAGGGCTGCTCTGGGAAAGCTGGCACATCTGCTCCCTGGCACTCCATCTCTGTGGTGACAAGATAACCCTAACTTGGAACTGCAGTAAGAAATGAAAAACAACATACTGTGACCTCTCACATTGATAGCTCTCACTAATACCAGACAACAGACTGGCACAAAGGTTGCATGTTTCTGTGGAAGAGAGAAACTGGATTACGATCCTCTTGGGATTACAGAGCAGACATAAATAGAAGCCTTAATCAAGCATCGAGTTTGTGAACTTGGTCTATATGGACATGTAAACATATTCAGCCAAAGTCAAGCACTTATACAAAGCATTTCTTTCTCAAAGAAATTAGAAAGCTGCAGACATTTTTCCCAATGCTCTGCAGAGTCAACCAACAGAAAGAATTTCTCACTGGGCTAAAATCACAGATATTATTCAACACCATTTTTACTGAAAGCATTTCTCTTCAGGCTGGGATGTGTGGTGGTTCAGGTCTCAGCTGCCATCACACAGGAAAGTGGCATGGTTTGTGCAAACAGCAAGCAGAGACCCTGGGGCAAAGGGCACTTCCAGTCCACCAGTGCCCAATGCCAATGCTGTGCAGTGCTAGTGTGTAGAAATGGAGTGAGGAAGCAGCTCCAGAGCAGGTAGCAGTCAGGAGGTGTAAGAGGGCCCCAACACTGCTAAAAAGGATGTGCTGTGCCTGCAGCTGGCACCTTCCTTGCCACAAGCTCTGACACATCTGTCAGGAGGGAATACACCATCCAGCAGGTTCTCTCTCCATCCATCACAGGCTCACCCAGCCTAGCACAAAGACCTCCTTCATGAGGGGATGAGGAATACAAGAGCTTTGGGAGAAGGACAGCCAGCACGTTGAGTAGGTAAGAAAGGACATAGGAGGATGTTACATGGAGCTTTTCCAGGTTAAAACAAATGCTCTTGAAGAATGATGTCCCTTGCTCTGCACTGGTGTTTGAAGAAGCTCTTTAGCCTTACCTTCCCAAATGGCTGTAAAGGGCACCCCCTCCTCAGCCTCCAGCCTGATCACCTTCAGTGCCACCAACTGGCCGTTGATCCTGTCAGGTCAGAGGGGAAGGTCACATGAAGCACCTCAGTGTTCAGCATGACAACAACATTTCCAGGGAAAACCCTCACTCCCACCCTGGTGTGGCCATCTCCTGACACACTGCTGGGGAACAAAGTGTCTTTGTGGGGCCTCCATGGCTGTACTGGAGATGTTCCCTGAAAAACTGGGAGGGGGTTTTGCAAATATCCCAGTTAAAGGCAAAGCAGGACTTCTGATTTGCCTTTATCTCCCTGTAAACCCTCTGAATCGCCCAACTTCAAGCTCATTCTTACAGGTTCCCTCAACGGGTGTTTTCAGCAGGCCCTGGGAAGGCAGCAATGGCTCAGGTGACCTTTGCTCACCTGCTGATCCCCTTGTACACGGTTGCAAAGGATCCTTCATGCAGCTTCTCTAGATGTACATAGGATGTGGCAGCTCCAAAGGGGATGCCTGGTCTCTGCTTCATGAAGAAATCGGTCCGTGTTTCAGATTGCTGGGTAGAACAAGAAGCTACTAGCCTGCCATTCAGTAATTAAATACTGATAAACAGCTGCAATAATCAGAGGATGAAATATCTCCTGTCTGACTCTGTGGATGCTGCACACTCACCCATCTGAACCTCTCCACAGCCTCCTGCTGCTGTTAAGGACCAGCACCGCGCCGAGGCCTCCGCACCCTGCGCCTCCGGCTCTGGAGGGTGGGGGGCTGTGAGGCTGCAGGGAGGGGAGGGGAATGGACACTCTGCTTCCACCCTGCAGCTGGTGCAGGAAAAGGAGGCAAACATACCACTGGCAAAACACTGTTCTAGTGATGGGATTCTTTCCTTTCTCCTTGACTGCACTGGCTTTGAGCACTTCACATCATTTTCACCTCCCTCCCCACCAGTCACGGATCTCCAGTACAGCTTCTCAGCTCCATCTGTAAGAGGAGCAACTCTCTGTGTGTTCCTGCCTTGGTAGATGGTGGTGCTCACTCTGAGAACACACAGGGACAAAACTGCCTTAACTCTAGAGGAGACTTCCACCAGTATCATTAAATGCACGTTACTCTCTCTTAGCCTTGATTTATTCCTCTCTAGGTAGCAATCTGTCAGGGCAGGGACTAAAAACCAAATGGAGGAGTAAGCTTCAGGAAGCTTAAATTTATGTCTTCTTCCCCCCTTAGCCCCCTGCACCTCCCACCTCACACCATCTTGTGCCTCATTCACCACTGTACAATTTATACAGCCTGTTAATTTGGCCTGTACAGCATAACAGTGCCATAAACTATAAAACTAGTGGTTGTGAATGGCAGGCAGCCTGCAGGCTCCTCCTGAGCAGCCACATCGCATGGGTGCCTGCATTAGCATTTGACTCAAACATAACAGAGTTTGCAATCTGTGGCATGCTGCCTCCTCCAGAACTGTAGGTTGTTGGCTCCCTCTCTGCTCTACAACCCCTCACTGGCACAGAGCTTGCTGGAGCACAATCTTCTCCCCATTTGTCACACCAAAGTCATTTATCGTCATCTAAGGCACAGAGTCCTTCAGCAGCTTCACGAGCCTGAAGCTGCAAAGTTTGATGCTGTCTGGTTAGAAGCAAAGGCAAATGTTTTGCAGTCCCACAAGAAGTGGAAAAACCCAGGCTTAGCCTGTCTCAGTGCAGGAGTATCACACTGGTTTATTAAATACCTCTGCTGTAGGTGCTGCTTCCGTGTGTTGAAGGCCTTGGATATTTTGGGAATCCCTTCTCTCTGGACAGCAGCTGCAGCATCCTGGTGTGACAGCACCTAGACACAACATGTCTCCCCTGTTGTCCTGTTTCTATTAAAATGCATCTATTTTTCTTCTCTTTTGCTCCTCCTCATCCCTCTGTCTGCAATAACAGTTCATATGACTCACATGAGGTCTCTGCCTCTGCCTTGTGATTTCTGCAGTTTTCCTTTGAAAATCAAACACACAGGGATCTGAATTCACCTCTGGAGTAGCTCCATTGATTTCAGTTCATTTGGCACGCACCTTCCAAAAGACCCCAACATTTTTTCCACACCTAAAGACGAATAATTAAGCAATAAATCCAAACTTTCTGCTGGTACAAATTTCCTTCAGATAAGCAGCTCTCTGTCAGATCACTTTTCTCAGGGATGCGATGAGTTGTAGCTGATGGAAAACAGTCTTGTTCACATGTCAAAATGTCCAGAACAAACCGATGAATCCAGCCCAAAATAAATTTCATGAGTTATGTATGGAGCAGGGAACACACAGTGGACTTACACTGGGTGTGGACAGACAGCAGTCCCCTCCTTTCAGTCCCCCATGAGCAGGACTCGCTGTGCAGCTTCCTAGGGCTAACACCCAGCCCACACTGAGAAAATGCTGGCAAGCAGTGAGGGAATAGGCATCAGACTGTGGAGTTTTTATGCTGACCCCTTAGGCTCTTCAGCTTTCACTTGCATGCATGATGTGAAATTCTCCCTTTCCTTCACTGTTTTGGTGTCTAGGAATAACACTCTAAAAAAAAATTCCTTCAGCAAAAGGATTTCTTAAAGAAAACATGTCACAGCAACCAAACTACCCAGCCTTGGCCTGGCAAGAAGGAGATCACATACTCCTTGATTTCTTTCACATGGTTTTCTTCTGCATTCCCTAGTTAAACATACCTTGCTAAATATCTATCATCAGGGGCTGCAGTCTTCTGTTTATTTTCCACATACCCTCTGAGCCATCAGAATACAGCAGTAATCTAGATGTGCTGTCCAGGCATGAGAAAGGTCATCTAGATGCAACCTACTCAGTAATAAAACTGGTTATGCAAGCATTGTTTGCACATCTGCATGAAGTTTGTTATTCTGGAAAATATTTTTTATTGCTATGACCATATTTATACAAATGAACTTTAAAAATACATTTAGGCAGAACTGTATTTTGAAGGAATGGAAAGATAAATGCACAAAAAGGAGACAATATAAAATACACCTGTTACTTCATGTGAAGATTATTCACTTTAAGGTCAGGTACATTTTGTGTCAGGGAGTAGAGAGGAATTAATTGGTTACAAAGATGTCAAGTTTTGGTAGTTGGCAAGAGCTGGTAAAGGAGCATTGTAATCAATGGTGGCTCTGGTTATGGAGAAAAAGTAACAGGAGTATTCATTCCAGTTGGCAGAGGAAATGTTCAGTAGTTATCCTTAGAAAACATCAGGGTTTATAAAGGAGAGCCTACACCTGTCTGTGGAACCATGGCTTTTTAAAGGGGAGCCTCGGGCAAGGGAAGGAATAGCCCGAGTGCTGCTGGAACACAACAGGTACATTGAGCAGAACTTGTTCTGATGGAAACGCATTGATATGGCCCGTGCTTAGGTGTGTACAGATACACCTGCAGGGGTACAGCTGCACACACAGCTGTATAACTGCACACACAGGTGTATAGATCCACACACAGGTGTATAGATCCACACACAGGTGTATAGATCCACACACAGGTGTGCAGATCCACACACAGGTCTATAGATCCACACACAGCTGTATAGCTGCACATATAGATGTATAG